CTTGAAATACGTTATACTGAACTACTATCTTCAAATATTATTTTTACCAATAGACTATATTTCTCTTTAAAGGAAATAAATGTAATAGAATTGCTTAAATTATTTAAAAATTATTATTACATATCAAATATAAGTATGCATATTACAAGCTCCCATTTTTCTTTTTTTATTATTTATTTATTTATTTTATTATATTTCAATTCTTTGATTCAGTAATTTTTTATTTTTTATAAACTTAGTTATATATAGTTTCTCATGTATGCACAAAGGACATGGGTCATTTAATGACCTACATATTCTAGCTTTTCTTATTAATTTCCATTTTACTGTAGGTGTTTTATTGGTTTCTTTTAAGTGCCAGAAATATTTCGATAGGGACGTCTGATTTCGGTATTTATTTATCCTAAATGAACTTTGATATTGACTGAATTTCTTTTTGAACTCATTGCTTGTGCAACCTATATAGATTTTTATGTTTTCTGGATTCCCAATAGATGAGATATTGCATTGGTATACTAATGATTCCGTGAGACATTTATTTTGTAGGGGAAAGTTATGAGGGTTTCTACAGTTACATTATTTTTTTGCTTATCTTAATCTCTTTTTTTTTTTTTATATTGTTTAAATTTCTTTGGTTTAGGTCTAAGTGTTTATTCAAGATATTAGCAATATGTTTCTTAATAATTTTCTAAGTTTTCAGTACAGTTATAACTTAATTTTTAGCGTATTTTTTATCGAAAATAGTACTGAGTTTATTATCTTTAGGAAAATGCTTAACGATTAATGCAAGTAATTTTGTCCTAATTTATTATTTACCATTTATGCTTTGTAAATTTACATTGAGCACTGTTTTTTTAAATATAAAAATATCAATAAGAACACCGGATTATATATCTTACTGTTCTTTAGATAAGCTTTTATTTAATTTTTTCTTGTGTTCGAACAAGAGATTTCGTTTCTGGACAAAGGGTGTATAAGAACTGTCCAAATGTTTTATATTTCCGAGCTCTTTCGGCTATACCTTTAGCCATTATCAAGGATGATTCGATTTTTCAGCTTAATTGAGGGTGTGCTTTCTGTGTATGTATCAGTGTGTGGTAGGGATGTTTTTAATTTCCGAATACGGTTAGTAGATTGTGGCTTTCTTCGTAGTTAATATTGTTAAGGAACCTTTAAGGAACAGTGTTCCTGATCAAACCGGACTCATAAATAATTACAACGGTTACACAACCACATGCTTATCCAGACGTCTTACGTTACACTTATCTGATCACAGCTCCATTAGAACTCATTTAAACACACACACAAATTTACCACACTCCATTAGGAACATACTAGTAGAAAACACAAATATATTAACTGCATCCACCTGCAAAAAATGACTAAAAATAATGGAAACTTTAATAATAAAAAAGAAAAAGCCAACTCTTAACAATATTAACTACGAACAAAGCCACAGTGTTCTAACCGTATTCGGAAATTAAAAACAGAAAAGAAAGTCTTTCTTGTTTATCCTCTATTGCTATACGACCGCCACTTCTCCTACTCTACGGATTACGATTCTCTATTGATCATTATATTATTGGCGATTACTACTTGAACAAGTATTACTAGTACGAATATTCTGGAAGGCGTAGCACCGACGTTTACGAAGTCCCGACTATAACGAGCGTTTGGTGTGATAACGAGCTTCCATTTGACATCACTAAAGTACCAAGCGAAGCGGTTCAACATCATAAAAAGTGATTCGCAATGAATTATAAAAAGTGACTACGACTAATTAATTCATATATATATATATATATATATATATATATATATATATATATATATATATATATATTTATATTGTGTAACCTTAAAGAGGTTACAAACAGATAAAGGTGTTACTCGAGGGAAGGAACAGCAACACTTGCGTAGATGAAAGAAAAAGGTTTCGTGTAAAAGAGAATACACTACTGAAAAGGCAGGTAATCGGTTAGCAGGCTAGTAATTCTCGAAACAAAGTCCCCAGGTATATCCTGTGCTCACTATATATATGTACTGATGTTGTCATTCCACAGGCAATAAGGAGTGTGGGACATTCCATTACAATAATATATATATATATATATATATATATATATATATATATATAACTTCAAACCTTATTATTATAAATACTCTTATTTGAAATAGACGACCCAATGTATTTCTTTTAATAGTATATATATATATATATATATATATATATATATATATATATGATATATATATATATATATATATATATATATATATAAAAAAAAAAAAAAAAGTAATGGATAGCGGATAGGATTGAGGAATCGGAGAGCCGAGTTCGAATTTCAGTCGAATCCGTTACATTCACTTACATGCTAATATCCGTGGGAAAGGTATGAATTCTCTTCTTTTATATGGGTAAATAGGAGGATAGACTGGGTTCTATAGCCTTGGATGGTCTCGGAGTAGGACAACTCTGAATTCAAAACCTGCGGAAAGTTGGTTGGGGATCTTTGTGGCTCAGGTCTCTGTATTCCGCTCTTCAAAAAGTATGGTTGGTTCTGCAAAAACCTTCACCACTATAATCAAATCATATATGCAGGTGTCTGGCTGTTGGTCCCTAGTCCTAGTCGATTTCCATTATATATATATATATATATATATATATATATATATATATATATATATGTGAAAATATATAGAAAATAGGAAGGAACTGGTTCGGTAAATGATCCAAAGTTCCTTAGTATTTTAGTTATTATTTTAAAAAAATAGTGCTTGATACAAAAGTAGAGCATAAATATAGTTATTTATTTAAAAAAATGATTCCAACTCGCGACATAAGAAGTCTCATGTTTCAAAACAAGAGCCGAAAACTTCAATATAATTATTTGAATTAAATTGAGTTAAAGTGAAGCTCTGTTCCATCTTCAAGCGAAATTTTTTTGAGAATAACGTATTTCTGAAATTTACGTGTTTTAAAAAATTGAAATCAAAATTTCCATGGTAACAGCTATATATATATATATATATCCTTTTCTTTCTCTTATGTTATTTTACAAATAGACTACCCATTTAATTTTTATTTTAAACATTACATCTATGGGCCTGTGTATTTGGAAAATTATTAATAAAGACAATATGCTTAATCCAGCAGAAACCAAACTTTTTGCTTTTTTCTCGTTTGGCTACAGAGAGCGTCACTGTCCTGCAAGGCACAATTTACGTCTTTAAAGAAAGTACACTTAGAAATAAATCCATAAATTTTTTAGAAATTGTTTTTTTTTTTACGTTTGTTTTACGTGTGCAGATATGGGATTTCGAGAAATGTGATGGTCTCTGTAGCCGTTTGATAAAGCACTGTGGTTCCTCCAACAATATGGTAGGTTGATCTGTCATCATTGCACGATATGTGAAAGCTGCAGATTGATGTGACAAGTATGACAGCAAGAATTAGATTTATAGCTTTACCAATGTTTGAGAATTTAGTTTTAAAGATCGGCTGAAAAAATGAACGGAAATACTTAATTTCCGGAGGTTTTTAAGAAAAAAATGACTTCAAAATTTTACAATTTCAAGAATAAAACCAAATAAAGTTGATATATTTTTTATTAGACACATTGAATGAAAAAAATATTTTCAAACCAGAATCTATCTATCTATCTTAGTCTAGTCATTATTCATCATTCTATCTATCTATCTATCTATTTCATCTATCTATCTATCTATCTTAATCTATCATTCTTATTATCTATCTATCTATCTATTATCTATCTATCTATCTATCTTAATCTAGTCATTATCTATCTATCTATCTATCTATCTATCTATCTATCTATCTTATCTATAATCTATTATCTATTATCTATCTATCTATCTATCTATCTATCTATCTATCTATCTATCTATCTATCTATCTATCTATCTATCTATCTATCTATCTTAATCTAGTCAATATCTATCATCTATCTATCTATCTATCTATGTAGTCATTATCTATCTATCTATCTATCTGGCTGTGGGTGTTCATTATCTATCTATATCTATCTATCTATGACTGTTATCTATGTATCTATCGATCTAAATATAAAATCACACACAGATATTTCTAGTGGCAATAAAACAGTGCTCACTGTAAAATAACAGAGCTAAAATTTGAACTAATTAATGCTAATTTATACTAAGATCAAATAAACATTTCTTTTTCCGTTCAGTACAACTCTGAATTCGATGCACGAATCTATCGTAAAAAATACAAATTGAAAGCTAATCGTTGTGTGTGGGGTTATTTAGTGTAAATTGTGTTTGTGAGAAACATCAGGTTTAATGTTCTCCTCTCTCGGAGATGCGCGTTTACTGTCGAAATCCGCAAGTGTTTTCTCATTGGGTAAGCACCTGCTCCTGGGTCACGGTGATCCGGAAAGCCAAAGAAGCAGGCCACATTTGCCTGCTGCCAACACTGAAAACAGCTGGCGTTATCATTTATACATTCAATCCAGTCCACAGACCTGTTTGGAAGATGAGGAATTCCACTATTTACTTTTAAAATGCTATCCTTTTTAACATACTGGATGAAGATGAAAGAGGAGGCAGAGAATAAGAGATGAAGAAAAATCTAGTGGAAAAGTAGTAAGATAATGAATAATAATAATATATAATAATAAAAAAGAGAAGAAGAAGAAGAAGAAGAAAAGAAGAAAAAAAAAAGGTTGAAAGAAGAAGAAGAAGGATTGGACTTCAAAGAAAGGAACAGTCGAAAAAAGAAAAATTAAAGGAGGGACGAAAAAAGGGAAAGAGAAAGAAAAAAAAAAGTAAAATAGATAATGAATAATAATAATGAGGATAAGAAGAAGAAGAAGAAGAAGAAGAAGAAAAGAAGCAGAAGAAGAAGAAGAAAGAAGAAGAAAAAAAAGAAGAAGAAGAAAAAAAAAAAAGAAGAAGAAAAGAAGAAGAAGAAAAAAATATTGTGAAAAAAAGAAGAAGGATTGATTTAATGAAAGAGAAGAAGAAGAAAAAAAAAGAAGAAAAAAAAGAAGAAGAAGAAGAAAAAAAAGAAGAAAGAAGAAGAAGAAGAAAAAAAAAAAGAAGAAAAAAAATGTGGTGTACAAAAAGAAAAAGAAGAAGAAGAAGAAGAAGGATTGGATTTAATGAAAGAGAAGAAGAAGAAGAAGAAGAAGAAGAAAGAAGAAGAAGAAGAAGAAGAAGAAGAAGAAGAAGAAGAAGAAAAAAAAGAAGAAGAAAAAAAAACTGTGTGAAGAAAGAAGAAGAAGGAAAAGAAGGATTGATTTAATGAAAAGAGAAGAAGAAGAAGAAGAAGAAGAAGAAGAAGAAAAGAAGAAGAAGAAGAAGAAGAAGAAGAAGAAGGAAACTGTGGAAAAAAGAAGAAGAAGAAGGAATGGATTTAATGAAAGAGAGGAAGAAAAAAAAAAAGAAGAAAAAAAAAAAAGAAAGAAGAAGAAGAAGAAGAAGAAGAAGAAAAGAAGAAGAAGAAAACTGTGAAAAAAGAAGAAGAAGAAGAAGAGGATTGAAGAATGAAAATGAGACGAAGAAGAAAAAAAAAAGAAGAAGAAGAAGAAGAAGAAGAAGAAGAAGAAGAAAAAAAATATTGCAAGAAGAAGAAGAAGAAGAAGAAGAATTGATTTAATGAAAGAGAAGAAGAAGAAGAAGAAGAAGAAGAAGAAGAAAAAAAAAAGAAGAAAAAGAAGAATTAGAAGAAGAAGAAAGAAAAGGATTGGATTGTTCCAAGAAGAAACAAGAAAAAATAAGATGAAAAAAAAAAAAAAAAGAAGAAGAAGAAAAAAGAAGAAGAAGAAAGAAGAAGAAGAAGAAGAAGAAGAAGAAGAAGAAGAAGAAGAAATGAAGAAGAATGCAGAAGGAGAAAGAAAAGAAGAAAAAAAAAAATGAAGAAGAAGAAAAATGAAAAAAGAAGGAAAAGAAGAAAATGAAAAAGACGAATAAATGAAGAAGAAGAAATGTAAAAAAAAGAAATAGTGAAGGAGAAGAAATGAAGAAGAAGAACGAAGAAGAAATGGAGAAGAATAAGACATGAAGAAGAAGTAGAAGAAGAAAAAAAAAGAAGAAAAAAGAAGAAGAAAGAAAAGAAAAGAAGAAGAAGAAGAAGAAGAAGAAGAAGAAGAAAAATTGTTGTGGAAAAGGTGAAAAGACAGAAAAAGAATATGACGGTTCCGTATAGGATACAGGTTCGAATCCTATCGGAGGACGAATATTTTCTATGTAAATTTTCTCGGACATTCAGGCCGATAAATGTCGTTAATACTTTTTATTATAAACAAAGCATTTACTTAAATATTTGTATCTATTAAAAGAATGTATAAACATAAAAAAATATCTTAATATATATATATATATATATATATATATATATATATATATATATATTTTTTCCATATAATATTTATCAATGTGTATATATGTATTTTCTGCGCCATCTGTAGTGAGAGGGAGTAAATCAGCTTAAAATAGTAACTTTATACAAAGCCGACACTGAATAATTATCTATGAAACAAAACAAAAAAACCAACGAAATCGGATGAAAACTGTGGAAACGCATAAACAAAATCATCCGATCACACACTCAAACATACATACACACATTTTGAGAATTATAGAGATACGTGAACCGCCTTTAAGTAATCCTCTACCTTGAGTGGCTCTTGGGCCTTGTATAGCGAATACATTAAAAAATTCTCAAAGCTCTTCTCTGCTATTGTTCATAGACACTGGTTGGGTAGTAGGTGATATGTGAAAATAATATACCTGAGCGCCCACTTTGTTCTTTTTTTCATATTTTCCTCATATCTCAGTAATGACCTCTTATGTCAGGGAAGTGGTCGCAGGGAGAATAAATTTTATGCCTTTTTTTTGCAGCATTTGGGATAAATAAATACAAAGTAAATTCTTTAAAAATAAAAAAAGCTATCGTGTGGTTCCAATTAATTTGTGTTATTGGTCGGTCACAAGATTACCTGAGATATAAACTATTTTATTTTAATAACAAAATGAAAAAAAAGTTACCGTACTCACAAGTCTAAAAAAATACGTGTGTCGTCTTCCAAGACTAATTTAAAGCAACGCCAAGGCTCAAGTAAGCTTGGACGGTCATCTAATTGGCTTGATTGATAGGAACGCGGATTTTTATGTTGAGTCATTACATTATAATATTTAACTGTCAAAGGATTTCAAAGCTATGAAAAATAAAAGCCGAACCACAAACTTAAACATGCTCTGTTTACTAGCAGCCTTTCTTTTTTGATTAATATGTCATTGCCATAAGAAGTTGGACTGTACTCAAAATATGAGTAATTGAAAAATGGTTCAAATATATATATATACATACACAACTTTTTTTTTTTTTTATGAATCTATTTCAAAAATTTTGTTGGCATGAAATGACCTATTGAGGTTGATATACCAAAAATAAAAAAATAATCAACCAACAAATCTTATTAATTAACCCATAGCTGGGGAAAGAGGTGATTTATACCTGATCAGAATCTGGTGAACAAGAAATTAATATGTGAATATAAAATGAGGGATCAATTCCATATTACAATCAATATACAAAATGATCCCTCACTTTTGGGCCACCGGAGTTTCTATACATTTATATTCCAGTGAATGTAGATAAATCTAAAAGAGATGCCTGTGTAGCTAATCAATATTTCATTGATTGATTAATTCATTTTTTTATGGATTATCAACCGTTTACAGGTTATTTAAAGCCAGAAAATATTTTTAAATTGTATTGAGATTGGCGGGGGGGATAATAATGGTTGAGCGATACAAGTCTTATTAATTAACCCATTGCTGTCTGCTCTGAATCGTAAATTAAAAAAAAATGCAATAAAACTAAGATATTATTTAATTAGAAAAAAATTTTAATTGCTCTTATGTATCAGATTTATAATTAATATTATTTTTATTTCAGAAAAACATTTTTTTCGAGGAATAATGAATTTTATCATAATTGTTTTCATTTTTTTTAAATTTTTTTTTTTTTTAAATATTTTATAAAGTTTTATATCTTTTAAATTTCTGAACAAATTTTTAGCGATATGGTGATAATGTTATTAAATAAAAACTACATCTACTAATCATAAATGAAAAACCTTACGACAATTCAGCGACACCCAGTTGTTCTTATCTATAAAACGTGACGATTTGTTGCAAATATGGACGTCCATAAACGATATTATCAGGAAATAAAAGCGACACCTGTAACAAATTTAAAGCCAATGTACCTAAAACTCAATATAAAACATCAGATTACAGAGAATATTGTCCTAATTTTTAAAGATTACTGGGTAATTAAAAATTTTATATAAAACCAATTTTCATGTTATATTCCTCATATATGTTTTACAGATATATCCACCATAGAAGAGAATTATGATAAATTTGTTAAAACATTTATATCTGCGTTATTTAAATTAGAAATAAAGTGATATTTGGTTCAAATCAGATTATCGTCTAATATTCCGCAAAAAAAGTCTCAGAAAAATGTATATTTTACTTTTTAAAGATTTTTTAATAAATGGAATTACATTGCAAAGATTGATGTCTAAAAATGGCGCTAAAACAGAGATGTTTAGCAATTTCAAAATGAGAACACCTTCCAATTAATTTAAATTAGATTTGAAATACACCAATGTATTTTGCTAATTCGAAATATTAAATATAATTAGGCTTGAAATTTAGACTAGAATAAAAGCTTCAAAGATTCATTTATAAATTCATTTTAATATCATAGGTATCATTTTCTTTGGAGATACATACATATATATACACACACACACACACACACACACACACACACATATATATATATATATATATATATTTTTCATATCAACAAAACAAAATTATTTTTAATTTTTATACAATTTATATCATGCAATCTAATAATTTTTTTCTTTTCGGATGATAAATTATATAAAAGCTGTCTAAATAATTATATAGGCCAAACTACAACATGTTTGACACGCAGACTTACTCTACACCTTTCTGACCATAGCTCAATTAGATCTCATTTAAATATTCATGGAGACCTACCGACACTATTCGTAACAATCTTGTTGACAACACTAATATAATAGCATCATCTACATGCAAAAAAAATAAAAAATGGAAGCCTTATTAATAAAAAAAAAAAAAAACACTTAATAATATTAACTTTGAACATGGACACAATATCTTGACTGTGTTTTTTTGAAAAATGAAAAAACATTTTATAAAACATACATACAACAAACTATTTCTTATTTAACAGTTAAAATATTTAATCTTTGAAAATGGCTAAATGTATAGCCGAAAGCGCTCGTATAAAAAAGAATATTCGAACAGTTTTTATATAATTTATCATCCGAAAAGGAAAAAAAAAAATTAGATCACATGAGAAATTGTATAAAAAATCTAAATAAAAAATACCTTGCCTGTCGTATTCAATGAAATGTACATGAAAGAAGGATTGCTGCCTAAATACACACACACACACACACACACACACACACACACACACACACACAT